ATAATATTGGGAATCAAATTTGATTTTCCCAATATAATAGTTATTCGGCACTTCGTGCCGAATAACTATTAATTATCGTGCTCACCAATATGATGTAGATGATATCATGGAGTTTATATAAAATTAGCTATACAATAAATAATACAATAAATAATACTTATTATTATACATGTAATTTTCAATATAATAAATAATATAGCGTGAAGATATTAATTACGCAATATTCTTCGAACTGTAAAAGTTTTCATAAATTTTAGTTTAGTTTTTAAATTTTTGGTCATTGAATTATAATATTTTAGGATTTAAAGATAAATAATAAATATCTCAAAAAAAATTTTTCTAGCGTGTTCAGATATTTTATACTTTTTCACTTTCGCGATATCAATTCAATTATGTGGAATAGAACATATAAAATTACCACATTTTCCTTTTTATAGATTAAACCAAGAATACATGAGGTGTAAACAAATCAAATCGATTGCAAACGATACAAACCGAAGAAAATGAAAATAAAAGAATAAGAAATTAAAAAAAAAATACAAAATGAAAACTAAACAAAATTATACTGAACATGTTTAATTTCGAAGCTAAAAAATAAAAAAAAAAACCAATCAGTAATTCGAACCTAAAATAATTTATAAATTGAAAAATAAAAACCTTAAAACTCCTTGAGTAATAGAAACTATGATGCGATTGACTTTTCAATACTGTTATTTTAAAATTGCTTTACGAAACTCTGTTATGTAAGATAATTTAAAAGGATTAAGCAAATTTATGATCGATTGATTAGATGAGGAAATTGTATTAATATAGTTTATGTATGTTTAATAAACATTAAATTCATTTACTTCATTTTAAAGTCATTGCTTTAGTAGATTGGTTTAGTTAAGTATGACGAGAATATGGAATTTAAAAAATTATTCATGCCAGCACCGATTTAAAAAAAACAACTAAGGTGATCTTGACACTTGTTTTACAAAACGTGAATTAGCCTGAAAGTGTTGCTAGATTTATTAGATTAATTAAATGTAGTTTTGTAATCATTATATGGTAAAGACAATTATTCTAACAATTTAAATAAAAGATACATTTGTAACGTATTAACATTCGAAATTAATTAAATAACTAGATTAGGTTGGTGTGCGGCGACTTTGTCGCCGCTAGGTATGGTTATAAGATTCGACTCTAAGATTCGAATTTCGATTAATCGAGTATAATCGATTTTATGAAGAACTTAAATTACATTTTCGTTTTTCATCTTACTTTTTTTCACGCGACGAAAATTTTAATTTATCAACAACCTTGCTCAATTTGTTTTCTAGTGATCCATATCTTTATATTTACCCCATAGCACCAAATTGTTTCCTAACTTGATGGCAAATTTCTCAGACCATCATCAATATTAGTTCAACCAATTTCTAACTCCTTTAGTTTACTCATTTTTTCCAAAGGCCATGGAAACGATTGTAATTATCGCCGGCAGTTCCTCGCTGGTGATTTCCTATTCACAATGATCTTACTAATATCATAAAATCTAGTAGGGAAACTTTCTTTTGGCAGCCAAGTATTCCGGAAATCTTTTATTTCACATAAATTTGTTGGTAGTTTAATCTGTACTAATATAAAAAACAATTTAAAAAAAAAATTGAGGTTATTAAAAATTAAATTAAATTAAAATAAGCTCGCAGGGATTAAAAATATAAGATAATTATGAAAAGATAATTCGAAGTTCAAAGCTAAAATAATTAATTAAAAAAATTTGAAGTTAAAAAAAGAATACATTCGAAAAATTAATTAATAAAGTTAATTACAATAAAAATGATAGCACTTATAAAAAATCAATTAAAACATTGATTATAAATTAATAAATTTATAGTATAATAATTAAAAGAAAATTTTAAATTAAATCCGTTTATAAAAATTTAAAAATTAAAATTTTTAAAATTAAAAAATAAAAAAAATTAACAGAAAAATAATATACTATAAAAAATTAAGAAAACATAAATAAATAAATAAATTACATTTAAAAATTAATTAAATTATTTAAATGTCAATAATGTCAATTAATATAAATTTATACAATTTTTATTTATAATAATTAGTTTATTAAATTTTAGACATGAATATTTGTCAAATTTTTTTTTAATTAATGTTTAATGTTGCCCTCGATTTTTTTTAAAAAATTTTATTTTTTAAAATCGCGCGTTCTAATATTTAATTTTTTATTTTATTTTTATTTTTCAGATTTATTTAAGATTAAAAGATCATAGGTTACTCACTCTCTTACTTAATATTAAGAAATCCAGGACCAAGGTTCCATACTGATCACATTTTAATCTATATTTTGATTGTTGGAAAACATCTTCCTGAATTGAAGCGTATCGGATTATTCTAAGGAAGTTCAAAAATTGTTGATATGAAGATTCCCACCTGAATTCATGAAAAAATTATTCCTATAATCCAAAGTAAATAATTGTAAAAAAAAAAAAAATAGATTGTTAATATAATAATATCCCAAAAAATTCAGGTAATATTGTTATCTGTTATGGTATATTATTCTTGAATGATATTTAATTAAAACCTACCCATTTATATTTTCCTTAGCCGGAAATCCTTTAAGACATTGCTGAATCGAAGTTTCTTCGGTATGGTTTGATGAAATTAATAGATAAATTATAAAAATTGTGGGTGTCTGCCTTCTTTAAAGAATACCATAAATGGAGAAATTGAAGAAATTCTTCTAAAATCTTCAATTTCAGTTTAACAAGTTTGGAAACATTAAATCAAGAATTTGTATGAGAATTACGAAAGTATCAAACTCGTGAATTCCAAGAGCTTGCAATATAATCGAAACTCTAAATCATGCATTTATTGAAGCAAACATAACGATATAATAAAAAAGTAACCGTAGAAATGTGAGAGGAATGAAATAATAGGGCATAGCTGTCGGTTTTTTTATATTTCAAAATTAAAAAGCAAAAGCAACGTATTTCGTTTTTTACATTATTTTTTTTAAATACATATAATAATTGATAATAAGAATCTAATTATTCCATTAGTGATATGGAAATAATTTGGTCACTAAAAATGTAAAATAAAAAAAAATGAATACTGTTAATAATGTAAAAGCAAATATATTAACATTGAACATCAAATAATTCAAAACTCGTTGCTGAAATACCCAAATGGAGTGCCAGCTGGAAAACCTTCTAGAATGCCATTAAAGAATAAGTTCGCAGGAATAGTATTTGGTAGTTAGCCATGCCGGTTACCATGAAAGCAATATCATTATGACGTAAGAAACCAACTATTCTGTTAAAAGGTACATTAATTGTATGAAGAAATGTTGCTGGCTGGTGATTGAGCGGTGCATTTCTAAAAGAAATTACGATGTTTGAATAGCATTTGGTAACGTTATCATTGATGGTGCATCCGGTGGCGGGTTTTCGAGTATTTAGTGCTGGGTTCGGGATTTGATTGTTACGTAGATGAATTAGCACGAATAGCAGCAGTGCGAGGAAGTATCTTATTGATATATTCCAATAAAATTTGTCTGTGTAGAAGCAGGAAAGTATTCTCCTGCCAAGTTATGCAAACTTTCGAGTTCCTCCGTTTTTCTCACTTCTACAATCATTCTTGGCTGCAATAACGCAGGCCCATATGGCGGAACTCCTTGGTACGACTGCGACATCAGTACAGTACTCACTATTATCATAAACGGCATATCCAATTCGTTATGAACCGGAAGCCTTTGCTCCCATTTTCTATCAAGAAACCATATCCTCCTGATACTACTGAGTGTATGCTTCCAGGCATCTCGTACGCAATTACATTACCTTAAATAATCGGATATATATTTTATACCTCCGTTTTCTTCACAAAACTTGCGGTATCTGTCAAGTGATATTCCACTGAAAACAATAACGTCTTTGACTCTTTTTTACTATCTTCTGCTATAGCACTCTCTTCTGCAATGTAATTTTTATTATCAAATTCAAGTAAGCACTTCCTTGCTAGTTTAAAATCTTCTTCCAGATTGCCCATTGGCATTGCAAAATTTTTTTTTCGATTAATGATTACATAATTACGATGTTTTTATCGATGAACACACGTAATCAATGATACTAATCGAAAAAAATTTAAATAATGAAATTTTTTTTTAAGGTTATAACGTAAATAAATATCTCATCGATTTAACTTTGAATAATTTCCAACATTTCGAGAATTCATTTTAATATCTTCAAGATCCATCATAATTAAACTAGGACTTAAGTTATGTAGAAATTTTATACATTTTGATAATATAACGAGAAGCGCGTTATAAATAAATCTGCAAAAATTAAATTTATTTGCTTTTAAATGAATTGTTGTTTAATTCACAATATTTATTTTTGACTATAATGTGATCTTTTGAGAAAATTTCTAGACTAGCTTTTCGCGGTAAGTTGACCAAATGAGTATTTTTATGTGGTATAATTGATGTTGAGTTTGATTTTTCATCCTAAATCGCAATTCAGTATCAATAAAATACGCCGCATCACTTAGATTTATCGTTCGCTGACCAATGAAAATCGTTGATTCTTTTTCATCTAAATAATATCAATATTGAGAACGAAATATCAAGAACGAAAAAAGATTATTAAATTATTTCCGTACGTATATATACTGCGCCACGAAACTTTAAAAATCAATTGCCGGAATATTAAAATAAAGACCAAACTGAAAATATAATTTAGTTTCCGCATTCAATTATAGATAGAATTTCGTCAGTCTTTTCTCAAGACTCGTCAACCACACCCTATCATCAATTCGGGACTATTTGAGGTTTTTCTACGAAAAGTACCAAATTCTAACTTTACTATATAAGATAACAATATTACAATATAATGAACATCGCGTAAATAACAAATATAAAGAATATAATGGATAAAATAAAATAATAATTACAAATATATGTAAGATTATATAAATGCATTAAAATAATACTAGCTATATTGCCTTAATAATTATTACAGATTGATCAGGCTAATTACTTTAAAAAAATAGTAAGAAATTCAATTCTAATGAACTTTTTGTAATAATAAATAAACACCGTTATTATTTTTGTTTTTTTTAATAAAAAATTTTAATTAATGCAAATTAAATAACTTTATCTATTAAAAGATAGATTTTGTAAAATATATTTATATACAAAATATTTTCTCTGACAAAAAGTGTTACAGAATCATTTTTTGAACCAATCATATTTAAGAAAAGGGATATTATTGTGAATATTGTTTTTTAAAGGTTTATATATATATATATATATATATATTTGCGATCGGTCATATTATTATTTATTGACTAAAATTTAGAGTAACAAAAATTACCAGCGCTTAAAATTAATTTTTTTGTTTATCTGCGGCAACCAACATTTGCTTAAACATTATTTTTTTTTATTTAAACAAATAAATTTAGAAAATACTTGCTTCAAACTAACATGATAAAACGCGAAGACCAAATAAAAGAGCGCCGTCAATTTTTTCCCAAAAATTCGCCAAATATATGTAAGCAAATTTTTTTTTCTAATTTTTAAAGAGCTGAACCTTTATTAAGTAATATACATATTAAAAATAAAAATAAAGAAAAAAGTTCAAATGCCTTTACCGCAGCATCTCGAATTAATATTTGTTATGGATACGAAGAAAAGAAAAGAAAAACCTCTGCCTCATTAAAAATGTGGATTGAAGTTAATTCTAGACGTATCTTCACAATTATTAAATGAACGATAATATGATTTGCATTTTATTAATTTTTTTGATTCTGAATTAAGTTAATTTATTGTTAGTTACTCACTTGGATTTACTCTGATATAAAATTTACGTGCCTTCGTTAATGAGCGTTACACAAACCTGTTATAGTAATGGTTTCGGAATGTATGTATAGTAGTAGTAGTATGGTTTTTTTTCATACATGTAGAAAAAAACATACATTCCGAAAACATTACTATAACAGGTTTGTATAACACTCACGAACGAAGGCACGTAAATAGAGATTGGAACCGGTTAATTTTAACCGGTTAATTAACCTGTTAAAACGGTTAGTTTCCTTTTTTTATTTTTTTTTTTTGCATAAAATATTTATATTTTAAAACTTAAATTCCTGGAAGTTTTTGACGTACGCTGCTGTGTATTTTTTTTGTTTAATTTTTAGTTAATTTGTTCTGTTTACATTTGAGTTTGACCGTTCATATATTTTATTTTTCCACAGTTTGATCTTTCATTCTTTTGTTGCTCTTTCGAGTTGGTTTGCTTCGGAAGTTGTTACTTTTTGATCATTCCGTTATTATTTATTTATTATTTATTTTACGGTATTTTTTTTTTTTTTTTCGCAAATCTAATAATTATTATATTATAAAGCAATGCTGTGGTGGTGAATTGTTAAGCTGCGCTCTATCCACACATATTTTGGATTTTGCTACTTAAAATGGACTCGATTTTTTATTCAGACATTTTATTAATTCGATTTTGGTAGAATCAATTTCAATCCCTATATTCGTGAGTTTAAATTTCTTTAACTTGTTATTACGGCTTTATGTGTTCCTATTCATGTTACACATTGTGCTCCTTTTATATGGCTTTGTCTCATGGATGTGATTAACTTTGTGGGGTTTAGGGATGCATAGTAAAAGCATTATCATGTTCTAAGTCTTGGTGGTGTCTCTATCCTCTTAAACTGTGTATGTCTTATGTATGTGTCCAATTTCTTTGAAGCATACAGTAAGCTTTAGCACCGTGTTTGTTAGTAGGTATATACTTTATGACTCGTTTCATTAGATGCTGTTGTGCAATTATTAATTTTTGAAAATATTTAAACTTGCACGTTACACTGAAAAATAATTTAACGAAAAAACTAAAATTAATTATTTTTATTCGTCAAAACCTTCTTATTCTTGCTCTGTTGAGCCGATTATATTCCAACAAATTTAATCCAAACAGGCTTTATTTAATGAAATATAACGCTCGTTTTCTAGTATTCATTTGGTGCCAATTAATTTTTTAAGTATTTAAAAATTTATAAAAAAAGATGATGATGTTCGGAAATTTTATTTTAAATATCCCAGGATGGTGATTCACGAGTTCAAAAGCATAGCTTGGTCGCGGCACAAGCGTTGAAGTTTGCAATATAATGAACTTGAAAATAGTAATCCTGAAATAGAATGAATAATAGATCGCTGTCTAACATTTGGCGAATACAATACTTGCCAACAATAATCGAGCAGTAAGTAAAAGTGGCTAATCTGAATAGAAACTCTTATGATGATATTTATTAAAATAAGTTATATATTTATGGAAACTTTAAGGGATTTGATTCATTTTAATAATTTAGAATGTGAATCAATCCTTAATAATTAAAAATAATATCCAACGAATAAATCAAAATTATCCTTTATGTCTTTCAAAGAATTGAAACATTCTGTAACTCATGAGTAGTGCATTTCGTGAGTTTAATTTTTTTTTTTTTGTCAGTTTTAAAATTGTAAAAAAAAATTACGTCAAAAAGAGAATGCCGACGATCATTTAATAATTGACAAATTTAAAATCAATAAAAACAGTAAACTATACCGAATTTAATAAACATTAAATATAGTTTCGCCCCAAAAAAACGAGATTTTCACTCGTAGATTGCAACTTCGATTTTTCGGTCGCGTCAACCGGCCGGTCACTTTTTTTACAAAAAAAAGTTCATATTTAAAAAGTTTATCATGTGACTATAAAATGTAATTTTATTGCTTTATTGTATTATCGTACAACTCATTAGTTCATGCAAGCTTCCCAAGCAATAATTTTTTATCCAACTAATGTTTTTGATGAGCTAAAACTTCACTTCAAAAAATCTGCTTCTCGCCAGTCAGGTGATAAATATAGAATCGATATATTTCCAAAAAATCTATTTTTCAACAGGTAAACCTTCCTAATCCTTCAACTTTAGAATTATAACTTATTTTTACATGTAAAATAGGCATTTTGACGGAGTTATGATTTTGAAATGAAATGTGATTGTCGTATGATTAGGCCGGGTAAAAGATTCTCATAAAATAAAATTTTAAAATTTACGCGGTCACCCGTTTTTTTTTGTAAAATTTTTTATATGTATAGTTATATTCTGTATCACACAAATAAATGTAAATCTTTCGCGGATATGCCGATTTTACTATTTTTTTAAATGACCTTGGTCATTTTGACTTAAAATTTATAATAAACATAATGTCATTAGAGGTCATTTGAGGTCATTTTTCAAGATCATTTGCTAACAACACTGAGTCACATGATAAAATTTTATTATATTAAAAAAAAATCCTGAATTTTCGTAAACTGACACGGCCGGTTCACAGAATCTGAAAAATTACTTTGCACGGCCTTGTCCCTTAAAGATTGACTAATTTATTAATAAAAAATAATCATTAATAAATCCGGGTCTCCGGGTCGATTTTAAATTCAATGTTACGTTGGCCTAATTAACAAAATTGAATCTCTTTTATTACTTAATTGCTTATTACTAAAAAACTTTATCAATTTTAAATTCATATCGTGTTTCTATCCTTAAATTCTTTGAATTAATAATTAGAAACAATTCTAAAATTATTTCATTCAAGGGAGTATTTCTTCTCATTCAAACGAAAACCAATTAAGTAAGGAAATTACTTCTTTTTATTTCCTTTTTTTGCGTTATTTTCATTCTTACTGTTATAATTTTAAAAGAAGAAAAAACTTACAATATGTCGTGCAGATATTTACGAAATTTTATAGTGTCATAGTAAATTTAAATTTAAATTCAAAGAAATTAACGTTAATATTAATATTATAATTAAAAATTTTTTCGTATCCATGTTGTGACTGAAATTGATTTTCATCTGACAAAATATTAATTCGAGATGCCTTTTTAATATTTTACAAATAAAAATGTGCGTCGATTTCGAGTATAAAATTAGAATCAGACACGTTAATGTTCGAAATGTAATGATTGGTTGACTTTGCAAAAATAAAATCCGATAAATCAATGACCAAATTTATTATCCATTCATAATGACGATCAGTTTGATTTAGCTATAAGGATGTGAATGTCCGAAATGCGCATTTGGGATATCCAAATCGGAATGCGCTATCGAAGTAAATAAAAATAATTAGGATAGCGAAATGGTTTGTCCGAGGGTAATACACAGTATATAAGGGTTACCTGATTTTTCGTCAAGGGAAAAGAAAATTATTTCAATCATGAAGAAAGGTTTATTATACATTCTTATACATTATTCATCGGCAGTTATTGCTGATTGGATCACCGTAGAACATGATTTTAAAATGTGCGACCAGGTCATACCTTCTTACTTTGCGGCATTCCATATAAACGATGATGGCGTTAGTTATTCGACGTCTCTTTTGATCAGGGATATTCAAACTATAAGTCATGAGCCATCATTAACAACCGTAAACATCACTATGTGGGGATGTACCTTTGATTGTAACTTTAGCTTTATGGTGAAAATAAACAGGAATGACCTTTTGGTTACGTCATTTACCGAAAAAAACCTTAATAACTATAAATGTAACTTAAGCAATTATACTTTAAAACTTATTCCGAACCCTAAGATCACATATAAGGAAAAAGTACCGAACCCAAATCACGTGTTTCCAACTGATCTAACTGCCCAGTATTGCAAAGAAGGTAAACACCCAGATGCACCCGATTTTCCAATTGATCAAACGGAACATATAGCTGAATGCATCGATATTTTGACTGGCAATAAAATTGGAACATACGCCGCAACTCTTCAGTTCGGTTCAGGCAGCTCATTCATTCCTGATGGTTATCCTGTTGCTACATATCACATGATTAATTCGGCAAACAAGCTATTCGATCATTGGGAGATACATCATCGAGGGTACCATGATGCCCTTAAAGAACTAAGCGTTAAAATGACTCCCGATAATCTAAAAGAATTGATCCCACCACCGCCGCCACCGCCTAAAACAAATTGGCTCATGATTTTGGTTATTATAGGCGTTGGCTTTGCCGTGATTGCCTTATGTGCAGTTGGATCATTTTTAGCCGGCAGCTTAGGTGCCGTAGCAGCCACCTCCGAAGTCGCTGCCGAAACTGCTGCTGCAGAAGATATTGTAGCAACATCAGCTGAAGGATCGGCAGCCAGAGATATGGCGCAATTTTGGATAGATCATACGCTGGCAGCTAGAGCCAATCCAGCGGTGGATGAGTTTGGCGATTTGTATGGAGGATGGGATAGAATAGGATTCGACGGTATAGAAAGAGGTTGCACTCCACCATCAGGAAATCCTTGTTCTGCTTTGGAAGCTCTCGCGGCATTTTATGAAAGACAAGGAACCACAGATTTTCAAGCATTTCAACGATGGTTTTTAGATAATTTTTCTCATCTTCCCCGAGGTACAAAAAGGGATACGGTGCCGGAAAATATAGGATTTTATTCGGCTAACATGATGAATGTATACTTTCTTCCAAGTTTAATGGACGATGTTCATCGATCATTTACCGGAAACGGACAAAACTATCCAGATGTTTCATCATATCTATCAGCCGCAAGTGAACATCTCCAATTTCATTTTGAAGATACATTGCACAATAATTTTTTTGCTGCTAACAAGTCAATATTAAATAGTTTTACAGTTAATCTAAGGTCGGATAATTATAAATTAATTGAAAGTGATGATGACGTATATTATTCTATTAAAAACAAAACATATAACAAAATGGCGGCATCAATCATAAGCATTACCTTGAGGCAATTTAATGTTGAAATATGTGACCCAAAACCTTCATTTTGCGGACAAGATTGTTCTTGTCCAACAATCGGAGATGATAACTGTGTAATAGCTGCCTCAGAAAGCCAAATAAAGGAACTTAACTTCCTTCGAGACACCTCTGATATATGTTCAACTAACACTACGAAAACAGGTTGGAATATAACCCATAATTCCAATTGTGATCGTAAACAATTCCGATGTTAATAATAGGTTAAACGTGAATGCATTTTATAGTATCGATAATTTCGAGATTTTAGTATTATTTGCAATAATATTTATAATATTTAATTAAATAAATTTAAAAACATTTATATTTCTCCCTTTATCTTACATATTATAATAAAGAAATACCTTTTGATTCATAATCATCCGTGCTTGATTGCTGTGACGATATAATATTACATTTATGTTAATAATTGAATTATTAACATCGAATTCAGAAATGCTCATTATTTTGAAGAAATGACTGCGAGTATCGCGGAGATAACATCATTATAAGAAAAGTACTGATATCATCACACAGTACTTGCTACTACTGTGCGTTATTGATATTATCATTTGAATGAAATTTATCTCAAAAAAGAATTCCTAATAAAAATATCACCAAAATAAATTAAACAAAATATAATGAAAATTACATCAGTATCACCAGAAAAATTTTTCACCCACGTGAAATTTGGCCGGCATTACTGCATTAAGAAATTAACCATGTGACGAATAAAAGGTGACTACAACTATAATAAATCTTATAACGGCAATTTACTAATAAATTCAATTGAAAATGGTAAAACTGTATTAATCATTTGTTCTAAATACTTTCCTTTCTAGCTTTCTTCCACTAAAATATAGCACTTACAGAAACACAATGATAGCTTCAATAGATTGTTTAATTCTAGGAGAAGCTTCTAAAAATAATTTCAATGTTGGCGAAGTATACACCAATGATGATAAAATTGATGTCACCTTTGATCTATTTATTGTTTCAAACTTTAAAGAGCTTCTCTTTCGTAGGAAAAAAGTAAAAAGGGTAGTTTAAGATTCTGAAAGTATAGATCTTTATAAAGTTGAATTCAGTCTTTCAAGCCTTAATGATAAAAATTTATACAATAGATGAAATTAAAGATCTTAGCATAATAATGGAATCTTTGTTTGAATTTAAAGAATATTTCAATAATTATGACAGAAAACCAAAGCCAAGATGCCTTCATATCTTCATAGGTACCCTGCTACTGGTAAATGTCTCCTAACATTTTACCTTTCAAACAAAAAATTTGCAGTTATCGCTCATTATCATATTCATTTTCTCACTATCATCACTTTTTTTAAAACTAACATTATTAAAATTTAAGTTACAACAGGTGACAAATAAGTGTCACAATGTTGCAACGCTAGCTTTATTCAAAACTAATAGATCTTGAAAGAAAAAGGAAAGCAGGTAAGGATGTGTCAATTGTTATAGTTGCATTACCAATTTGTTCTATCATTTATCAATGTTTTTTCTCTACATTTATACTTCACAATGTCAGTAGTAAAGTTCTTAGAAAACTTGTAAAGAGACCTAGGTTAACAATTTTAGAAATTAGATCTTTTTCAGAATTTCTTGATAGGGAACATCCTGAAGATATTAAGATACCTATCTTTCAAAATAAAATTGATTTGTTACAATCATGAAGTATCACAGATCTCTGTAGTCTAGATAATCTTAGAGTCTTATTCTGAATTAGTGATACTGAAAGTGCTACCAATTTCTGTATTAGTGTAATATTCTCATCTATCTTAAATGATAAAATTCCTTCGAATGATAGAATCAAATATTTCTTTATTAGATTATAGGATACTTGCATTAAAATTCTTTAGATATCTTATTTCTAATAGTGTTGTTAAGCCTAAACACTACGTCGTTAGGATAACAAAGCTTATTTGCTAACAGGGAGTTTAAGTTGTAAACTATGAA